GGCCTATGTGGTGTTTCACTTTTTGTAGTAGGTATTTCGCTTGCTTCACTGGACGTGTCATCTGAATCTGAGTCGTAGGAATAGTAAAATGCTGGTTCGGCTATCTGGTTGTTTTTATTTGTATCTAAACTTTGCACCATTTCTTGTTTGGCTTGGCGAAGTTCTCTCATTTTTTCTATTTCTTTACGAATTCTTTCTGTTTCTTCTTTAATTCCGGCAATATATGTTTCTGCTTCTCTTTGTTTCTCTGCTAACTCGGCATCTATCTTTGCATCATATTCTTCTTCAGTCAACAAGGAATCTGGATCTCCGGTTACCTTGTAATCTACAATTCTATTGATCAAATCTTCCATAGCATCTGGATCATCTAGAGTTTTTACGTCAAATTCATTAACAGTTAATAACCAGTCTCGATTTTCTGTTGTCGTGTATTGTCCAAGCCTAATAATCAATTCATCCAGAATATCTGGATCCTCAATAGTTCTTGTTTTGTGTTCCATTTTAACTGTATTCTGAACATTTGTGTATAGCAACAAGTCATCAATTCTACCTGACTCTTCTAGGCCTGACTTGAGCTCAGTTTTAGTGCCCACTTCGTACAATGGAGGCATTTTTAAGGGTAGTGTGGTTGAAGAAACAGATAAGAAAGAGGCTGGTACCAAATATCCAGCACGAGTCTAAACCCAAACGTTTAAAAAAATTTTGGAAGGTACTTATCTTTTTGAACATGGTGACAGTTCCCTTGTGTTGGTAATCCAAACTCGTTCCGGTTGAAGAAACCCTCTGTTGTGTTGAGTTAAGAAAGCTGTACACCAGTACACTCCGTCATGAGTAACCAATATACTGTCTTCCTGTCCTCGACCCGCGCTCCACCAGATGTGAGGGTGGGGATTTTTAGAAGGCGGAACGAATGAATCCAATAACACACCGTTCAAGTTCAACTATAATTGTTCTTTATTAAAATGATATATATGTTCAAGTTTCTACCTAACTGATCTACACTGTACTACTTCTATCTGACTGTTCATTATACCACTAACTACGCACTCCCATGACCAATCCTAACACTAACTGTTCTCTACATTCTACAATCTAACACCTTCTACCTTCGCTAGCTAATCATCCTCTCCTAACTATCTACATTCTCGGCCGTCTCTGACCGCTACCTAACAACTCCTGGCCTATCGCTCTACTGCCGACCCACGCCTCAGTGGTCAGCTGACCGTCCCACGTGACCGGTCAGCCCTGTGCGCCCATTGGTCTCTCTAACCAACCAACTAGGCCTATAGTCTGTTTCTGCTAACCTATATCTGCTAAACATGTCGGACGTAATCTTGCGTCATCACAGGACGTAACATTATTTGATACAAATCAAGTACCAGGCTATACCTGTTCAACGCTATTGTGTATTTTATCATGGGATAAAATTGGTTTGACTTTCATTATTTTACTTTCCCTGATTCTCCGGTTGACTTCATGGAGGAGTTGAGTGTGGTTTTTTAAATATTTGAATTAATAAATATTTCAAAACGGCTTTTCAATACAAAAATATGTAATCCATGGTTCCTAAGCGATTTTAAATTTTTAAATGTCACTAGAATTTAATCGCCTACCATTTTTTTAAAGGTTAAAAAAAATTTTGATTGCATAGATTTTCAAGCCTATTGTCATTATAATACTGCTTGCACACGTTTACTGATCCTAAATTTAAAAAAAAACAAATATAAACAGTTCAACGCTTTTATTAGGGTCTGTAATTTTAAAACTGTAATTTCTGTGGTTATTAACTTCAATTTTTGTATCCAAATGTGCATTGTATTATTTATTCAAAATAACTCATCTAAATCGAAACTAATTTAATACAATCTGCTGTAATTTATTAAATAAAAAACATTGACATTTTAGATTCACAGTACCTGAAGTACTATCTGACATGATTGCTAAAGCCAAACTCCAGGGTGTGGTACAGCGACGTCTAAAATTTAACATCAGCAACCCTTATTTTACTATCCCGCAGGTAAAGCCTCTTGTAGCATTTATTTACGAGTGAATCCGTTGTTAAAATAGTAACGCAATGACAGGCATAAAATAACAAATATATCCAGGTTTTAGTCTCAGAACTTAACTTCATCCCAAGCAGATATATTTAAAAGAATCACTTCAGCTAAAGAGAATACTTTACAGACCTTAATGTAGAACATAGGGATCTCTGAACTTAGCTCAATATAGCGACAAACAACAATAGGCCTACTAAACAGAGAACTGTCCTAATTCTAATCCCTAGTCTTGTCGCTAAACTTTAAATACCTGATCTTAAACTTTATGATATGCCTGACACTATCCTTGAAAATAGAATTCATCTTAGTGCTTACACTTTGCTTATATGAAAATGTGCTACTAATAAATTTAAGCATGTTTCCTACTGGAAAAGTTTGATAAAGACGGCTGACCATTCTATCCCTTCATACGCTAACCTCACAGAAACGGGAAACTCTACTTCACTTGCCCCATGGACCGTCAGGTTCGAAAAGGGAATCTGACTTCTACGCTTGATATGAATGATTAGATTGATAATTGACTAATGCATACTAAACGTTCACATTTCTAAATACCAGTTAAAGCAACTGTCAGAATTAGAAAACATTTATGTAAAAACATTTTTCGCCAGCCAAAACCCCTCTCCCCAAATTTTCTCCTTTCCCCTCCCCCCCCCCCCCCCCAACGTTCACAGAAATATTTCTGAACGTAAGTCTTTTTAAAATTGTTGGCTAGGTGAGTTGTTGGTGAGTGACAAAATAAATTTAAAAAGAAGGTAAATTGTAACTTATGGAATGGGAAGTTATGTCAAAAGATCGCATCTTCCTTATGTTGACGGTCGGTCTAATATAGTAATGGGGACTAAGACTTAATTTTATCGCAAGCGTAGCGATAGATCAAAACACATATCCTAGATTATTTCTTTAACCCTAACTAATCAATATTGCTACAAGTTTCCAAAAGAAATTATCGATTTTAAAGATTTCGACGCATTCAAATATGATAGAAAACTGATTACATCCGTCATACTTTATTCATTCATCATTTAAAATAATTTATTCCTGAATTAAATGGATAAAACTCAAAGAATATTTACGAAAACAAAATCACAATAAGTAATTTTAAAAACAAAATGTGTAACATTTTATGGCACATTGATATTCCGTGACATTTCTATCAAAGATCAGGAGGGAGTAAAATCAGAATTGTAAAATAATGGCATCCCACACCCCACGGCCGATGGTAAATACACCCAGTTAGAAAACCAATACTGGTACTTTATAAACTCGGCTAATGTTCATACCATTAAGAGTACCCATGTATTATTCTAAACAATGAGATTACACGCTGAATAAATCATATTGCATAAAATATTGGTTTAAAAGTAGATATGTGATTTTGATATTTTCCAGATGTTTGAGTATTTCGGGGATTCTCCATGTGCCCATCTTCCATTTAATCAAGTCGAATGTTGCTTTGGAATATACCACAGGTATGCCAATATGTAATCTTGAAAATTATGAGCATTAATATATATATAAATACAAAATGTAATGCAAGTTTTTTGAGGTTAGATTAAGTCAACAATCTACATATTCCACCGAATAAGAACTAAACTCATAAAAAATAAAATGTGAAAGAACTAGATTTGAACGTATTTTAGAAAAACTAATATACATAAATTCAAAATGCATAGTATATTTTTAAAAGATGCATAATGTGAATATGAGTAACATATTTTTTTCTTATGTACCAGGGAGCCGTTGATTGAAAAAGCCCTCATTGACCCGTGGGTCGCATGTGCCCTCAGACCAGAATGCACCTGCCCAGAACAACAAAGGGCCCTACAGAAATGCCCACACCAGTGGGACCCACTCAAGTTCGGCCACTGTATGAGAAATGACCAGTCCTCCTTGACCATAATCCTGGCCAAGTTGTTCAGGGAGAAATTTTTTCAATTTGTTCTCCCCACGAATGGGTGGGTGGATATTAGGAGGGGAGATCAGCTGGATTACTTCAAGATGCTTGAAAGGAAATTACAAGCTAGAACTAATGGCAGAAATGTTTAGTATCAGGCTTGTAACGGGCATTAAAGTCAAGTGTTTAATTGGGAACACAGTTTTGACTAATTTATTACGCGGATTCATTTAATATTTGTGTATTAAAGAGTTATTCTCAAATTCAATGTATGTGTTTATTATTTACAAATCTTTAACTTATTGATACCGAGAATCGTTAGTCCCCTTGTTAGTAATATATTTCAATAGTGTTGAATATCTGATACAGTCCTATCATTTCAAAGCTAATGGGGTTGTGTCTATGTCATAGAAAGCATATGTACAAATTATTTGGTTACGTCTCTTTAGAGTGCTTCCAATCTGTACTGATCAACGTAAGATGATCTGTGAACAATTTTACTTTAATAGCATCAACACATACAGAAAGTAACAAAGTTAAACAATGGCGGTTTCTGAAATCAAACTGTGAATGATATGCAAGGTTTTATTTTGTTATACGTAGCGTAGCGAGGGGGGGGGGGCGGGGGGCATATGTCCACTGGCGCCGACCTTAGGGGGCGCCAAATGGGTTGGAAAAATAAATTGAAAGGTTGAGGGGCGTGGAAATTGAAAATTTAAAGGGGGGTGCAAATCGAAAGTTTGAAGGGGGTGCAAATCGAAATCTTGAAGGGGCGGGGGTGCAAATCGAAAAGTTTGTCCCCGGGTCGCTACGCCTCTGCATCCATTAGACGAATTTCAATACTTTCCATTGGATGGAACTCAAGAGGAAGAAGTAAATTTTAATTATATCAACTTAGATTTTGTATGCATAAGTTTTTACACAAGACCACTATTTATCTTTTGGTTTCGGTTTATATAAAATCTAGAAGCGTTGAAGCATGTTTCGGGAATTCCCCATTTCTTGGAAATTTTAATTTCTGGCATTTCCGACATTACTTAATAGCGACGTGGAGCGCTTTTCAAACTGAGTAGGCTACATCAGCCATTTTGAATAGTGTGAATACTCCATTGTTTTGGTGAGTATTCTATCTTTTATTTTTTTAAAAACCATGTAGCGAATAGTTTAATATAATGCTTGTATCTTATTTTAACTTAGTTTAGAAAAGAATTTCGATGTTTTGCGTAACTTAACTGGAATGAATATCATGCTAACGTAGTCGGATAACTTTTACTATAAAATTACTAGAATTACTAGAAAGGTACAAAGAAAGCGTAGGGTTTATTTTTCATTGGAAAAATATTATAAATTATGCTTTGTAATATAAACATTTTCAAAATTTAGGAAAGCTGCAGTTTTAGTTGCTGTTAGTTTAAGTATAAAGCCTGACGCAGATTTTTTTATTATTTGCGAAATAACTGCTGATATTCAGTCTAGAAACTTACTTTTCCGAATGAAAATGAGTGAAGTCCTCATTTTTAGATATAGATAAAGATATAAATATAGGTAAAGATGTAGATGTGGATGTGGATGTGGATGTGGATGTGGATGTGAGTGTAGCTGTAGCTGTAGGTGCAGGTGCAGGTGCAGGTGCAGGTGCAGATGCAGATGCAGATGCAGATGCAGATGAAGATGAAGGTGAAGGTGTAGGTGAAGGTGTAGGTGAAGGTGTAGGTGAAGGTGTAGGTGAAGGTGTAGGTGAAGGTGTAGGTTTAGGTGTCGGTGTAGGTGAAGAGGTAGATAGAGACAGAGACAGATAAATGAAGCTTTAATTATTTTTTACAGGTTGTGTTGTCTTTTAATTGAGAAGTCATTGCAAATGGCAGAAGGAAACGTTAACATGAATGGTATTTAGAGTTCATATCTATTTGATTGTTATTAAGTGGGTTGTTTTTTTTTTGTGCTGGAAAAAAATAAGTTAGTTCATCGGCGATGTGGGTCTTTGATATGGTTTCTCCATAATAGACATATTACGAACGAAGAAGATAAGGGAAGTTATTCTAAATGCCCTGAAATCGAATGGCAAAATATTTTACCCAGACCCATTAATGTGATACATTTTTAGGGTACTTGGAAAGTTACTATGGAAAAAAGAAGCAGAAGCCAAAAATAAGAAAACATAACATTGCTTAATCCTATGGAGCTTCTGTGGAGCTTGTGGCTGCAGCTATACTTCAGCAGCACACTTTCTTTTGGATAGTTTTTTTCATTTGAGGCCAAGTACTTCCCGTAGTGCATCAACTTTTAATAACAACAATAAAAACTGAACTAATCTCCTTTAGGGATCATTCTGGTAAACCACTTTTAAGTTAAACATTCCGTTTCTTCAGAGCCCAAATAGATGACTTTAAATGTGCGATAAAAGAATGATTTTAAATGTGCGATAAAAGAACGACTTTAAATATGCGAAACAGAACGACTTTAAATGTGCGATAAAAGAAAGACTTTAAATGTGCGATAAAAGGATGACTTTAAATGTGCGATAAAAGGATGACTTTAAATGTGCGATAAAAGAATGACTTTAAATGTGCGATAACAGAATTGGCAAGAATCAATCTCCAGTCTGGCGGAAGAAACTGTTGAACAAAACCACAGAAACTTTAAAAGGCAGCAAGAACTGATGTATTGAGAAAGACAAAATGGTTATTATGTAAAAACATTAACAACGTTTAGTAACAAATATATCAGCGGCCGCACAAAGAAGAAATTCATTCAACAGTTATTAGAGTAGAATGGAGAGCAAGGTATTGAAATTTCCAGCAAACATCAACAGTCAGACATTAAAAATGAGAAATCAAAAGCAGGAACATATAGTCAGTTTCAAAAAGGTTGTTTTTACAAAAAAATTTCCTGCTTAACTAAGATTCCAAAAGTTGAGACTTTCTGCGGTACTCATCAGAGGACAGAAACGTGTGCCTGCAACTCCACATGAGATTAATTGAGAATGATGATATATACTAACAAATCTATATATATATGTAATTTTCTCCATGGGCAAGACGATGCAGGCCGACTATTTAACTCTCCTCCCTCCCCCTCCCTCGCTTTCCAGCCATGCGCAATAGGCCATTTCGCTACCATCCCCACCCCCACCAGTGTGGTGAGCCATGATTTACCCCGAATGTTTACAATCGTACAACCGGGTCGGCTATTAGGGGCAGCTAATTTAGCTTTTAAGTGATTTGAAACTAAGGGGAGGTAAGAAGCTAGGGGCAGATAATTTAGCTTTTAAATGATTTGAAACTAAGGGGAGGTAAGAAGCTAGGGGCAGATAATTTAGCTTTTAAACGATTTGAAACTATGGGAAGGTAAGAAGTTCTGCTTTATCTTTTCGATGCTGTCTGCAAACTGTCGTCACGGACTGCTGCTTTCGCCAGGGGGGAGGAGGGAGGGTAGTGTCAAATTTACAAATTATGAATTACTGAAAAGTAGAGAAAAAAAAAACTAAATAGCGGCGTATGCTTCCCGCGAGGGTAAGCTCGTACAATATACTTTCCTTGCTATTAACAAAATTAGTGCTCTGTTTATTTTAACTTTTTTTTAATCGTCTCGTTGAATTTAAGTTTATTTTAACCATTTAAAGAGTGAATGTAATTAATTTAGTTAAACTTTTATTTCCATAACTGCTATTTATTTATTTATATATTTTGGATTAACGATTAACATATTTTAATTTAACATTTAGGATATGGAGAGTCTAGTGAGGCTCAGGGCAACGAGGATTCTGTTGCTAACTGCAAGAAAGCGTTCCACCACGACCAGCTCATCCACGTCTCCAAATTTTCAGTAACCCACCTACCTCCACGCTTCAGGGACATGGCTATTGTGAGCGCCATCTATGCCCTGGCTCGTCTAGTCGTCATGATACAGGTTCCTGCGGAGGGCAAGCCCGATAACGAGAAGTGTTCACATTCTGTTGAATCGTTTGAAGCTTTAGACGCAGATGAAGCCCGAAAGGCAACTGGAAGAATTAAGTATGTAGAGATGGTTGAGTCTATACATAATCAAGTATGTTCATGTCCAGAGTGTCAATCTAGACCTGTTGAAGATAGAGAAACTGAATTCAGTCGTGTGGTTGTTGTTACAGCAACTCACAATATATGTAATGTGGACATTACTAAGCTTGTTTGTCGTTTAAATTATGATGATATGGGTGACATCCCCGTCGATTTGTATTGTTGTTCGATAAAGACATTTGATGTTTCACGGGATAGATGCGAATTGTATTGCGACATACATGATGTAAACCTCAGAAATGATCTCTTTGAAAACATTAAATCCTTCGCTAGCCTTAACACAAGTCTTTATGAAAAGTATAGAAACCAAGAGAATTTGGATCTTCTTGTAATTATCTCCCACCCCCACGGTTTAGAAAAACGAGTGTCGGTGGGTAAGTTACTTGATGTGCATACTTCTAACGGGTGGCTCCCTAACACCCTGTACACTCAATATTTTTACGGCACGCCCACTTGTCGTGGTAGCAGTGGCGCCCCAGTATACGTACTTGGCAGGGAAAAGGTATGGACCAACCACCCCCATTGGGGTTACCATTTGGGACGTGGTTTTAGTGCCCATGAGTGGGAGGACGTGACTGACAATCTAAAACGACTGATAAAGACAATGGCAGTAAAGAAATAGTTTGGAAATATATATATATATATATATATATATATATATATATATATATATATATATATATATATATATATATATATATACATATATATATATATATATATATATATATATATATATATATATATATATATATATATGGGCTAATTATCGCATGTGTGTAAGAATAATAAATGTATGTCTGAAAAAGCTTATTTAATAATTTAATATCTGCATTGAAAAATAGTGTAAACAATCTAAAAGAATTAACGTAAAACCAGTTATTACAAGCTTTTGTATGACTTGCTTCCTCTGTCTGTCGTCAGTCGTCAGTCTGTTTGTCTAGGTCGAAAAGCCCGAGCAAAAATTCGAGCACTTCTAACTGACAGAAAGGGTTCAAAATTGGCGCGTGGGACAAGACATGAAGACAATGGAAGATGACATTCAATTTGTCTTAATTGATTGCCTGATTAATTTTTTTATGAATAAATTAAAATTTTGTCCAAATGAGTAGGCTGTCTCATCAAACTATTCCGCACTATTAGACAAGCCTCATCACGTTCATTAGGTGCGCAATGGTTTTTAGTCATGCAACTCTATTGTAAATTTTAAAAAATTAAAGTTCTGAAAAAAAATTCATAAAAAACGTTTTAATAACAAGCTTGTATGTAATAATTCATTAAAAAGTAGAAAATAAATTATACACTACTATTTAAATAACTATAAAGAAAAGCGTGGGTCTCGTCCTAAATATTAGTAAAGGTATCTAATAGATACTAAAGTGACCAACGCTTTTCTTTTGATTATTTAAATAGTAGTGTTTAATTTATTTTCTACTTTTTAGTGCATTATTACATAAAAGCTTGTTATTAAAAAAACGTATGATTTTTTTTTGTCTTCTTGTTTATACATCGTTTAAATAGCCTCTTTATTTTTATGTCTTTAAATACGTTTTTTCATGTTTATATTAATTTTTTTTTCGAAAATTGGTGCTGGTCTTTTGTATCTTTATTTTGTTGTTATTAATTAAACACGGAACGAACAGTGTTAAAAGCTTTGCTTCACATACTTGTGATTGTCCTGTTGTTTGTCATGTCTTGGCTGATATGTTGAGAAATGTTCAAGTGTAAATTAACAAATACACTTGGGTAAAAACAAACTAGCGAGTAGTAACTAAAAAGCAAACTTGAAAACAACGCAGGCTAATGAAAACAGACACATAGCTAAATAAAAAAAAAATCTAACTTCTTCTTCTCCTTCGTTTTTAATTTTTAGTGCAGATAAAGATTCTCTCCGCTAAATAGACCGTTGACATGGATTTGCTTCCATAGCCTTTTTCCAACCAAGAACAAACTGCAAGGTAGCAGTTGTTTGATTTTGGAAGTGTCTCTCCTAGAAGAGTGGCTGTCCCGAGCTAACGAGCCTCATCTACTCTCATATAACCTGTCAGATAGAAAGTGTGCAGCATCTTAACATAATTTTTTTTTCCTTTTTGTTCTTTGCGGAACATAGGGTTTCTGTCAAAGCTTTCCTTTCGCCATTGTCTCTTATACTCTTTCCATCTGTTCCCAATTCCTTCCTATCCTTTCAGCCTCCTCCAGCCCTTTACGTCACAATGTCTTCTTGTGTCGACCCCTGCCTCGCTTACCCTGGGGGTTCTACTCCAAGGCCAGTCTGACTCTATCGCCAGTGTCGTTCCTAATCGTGTGTCATGCATCTCACTGATCATTAAAAGCTCAAAAAAAGTTTGTCGATGTTTCCATTTGCATTCCTGCATGCTGTCAAACTTCTCGTTCTTCATTCTTAATATTTTGTTTCTATTGGAGTGGATTTCCCCCGATGCAATTAAGCAATAAGTGTCAAAATGTTATGCAGCATACGGCCCGTTGACTGCAACTTCAGCCTGCTTTTTTTTCTGGATTCGCTCGCATAGTCTTTGTTATATTTCTTTCTTTTTTTCTTCTCGAAGAGTTTCTGTCGTCATCTAACCAACTCATGACTTTCTCAGTTAGCAACGATTTGCTTTCCCAACCAGCCCCCACCCTACCGACCCCCTGTTCTGCTACACTCTCGTTTTTTTTTTTAAACAATGACTATTTTGTTTTTGTATCAGTGCAACTTCAATTACAATTAAATAACGATTTTTCTGTCAAAGAACTCGCTTCTTTATTCTCGGTTTTTCAAAATAAACTCATTAAAAACAGGAAGAGCGGAAAATTTATTTTGTGTAAAGCTATCAATGTAATATGTAATTGTAGTGGTGTAACGACAGCTATGATTTTTAATAAGATAATTATATTTAATCTGGCTGCACACCATTAATTAAATCTAGTTGAAAAAAAAGTCTACACGATTTTTGACACTAACTACTATTATTGATTTTTAATACAGCAGAATCTCTTCGCTTTTAATAAGAAAGTCGACGTTAGAATTACCTTGTTAAGACCTAAAATATTCTGTTAATTACTGGATGCAAAATTAAATGTTACACCTCGTTACAGAAAGTAAATATTAACCAAGAGAAATTTAATTACTAGATGCGTACACAAGATTATTTAGTAGTTTTACATTCAAAGATGTATTGATTTTTTCAAAAAATGATTTCTACTGTATAAAAATTGAATATAGTATCTTCTAAGCAAATTTAAATGTGGGTTTTCTTAAAACTAGCATTATTTAAATATATATATTAGATCCTAATGTAAAAGTTATAGTTTAAATGGAAACGTGGAGTGTCCTGTGATTGCTTGCCATAGGAGATGAACACCACAGAAGCGCAAACCTTAACACTGACGCCATTAAACTCCAACCTGCTTCTAAGTCCAGTGGCCATCGACGTCCTGTTGACCCTTTTTCTCCTGGTCTTCAGTGAGTTCATCGGTCTGTTCGGCATTCTGGCCAACGTGGTCAACATCTGCGTCTTTTACAAACAGGGCTACGAGGATTGTGTCAACATCACCTTGACCGCTCTAGCGGTCAGTGACCTGGGTGTTCTAGTTACCGGACAGGTGTTCAACCTCTTGGCCAACTCGTGGTTTTTGAAAGCGGACATGCCGATAGTTCAGATAGAAGTCGTGTACATGATTATCTTCTACCCACGGAACTACTTCACGAGAGTTTGTGGTTTCATCACGGCTTTTGCGTCGTTTGAAAGATGTCTGTGCGTCATGGTCCCGCTTCATGTTAAAAGAATCGTCACCAAAAAAGTTGCGGTCACGGTGATTTTGATCTTTTATCTGGTCACGCTTCTTGATTTAGTGCCCTTGTACTACGTCGCTTATCTAGACTGGAGTTTCCGGCCTGAATTCAACACGTCTAAATTTGGACTCGTCTACCGGGAAAATCCGTACAACGTGTTCAGCGTATCGTATTTTGTTTCAGATCTTTTCGCTCCGTATTTTACATTCTCCATCGTCATATCCTGTACCTGCATCATCGCGGTCAAGCTCAAAACGAGGGCGTTGTGGAGGTCAAGCATGTCAACGTCAGAGAGGTTCTCAAACAAGGAAACCAAGGTCGTGGCCATGTTGATGGTCGTGTCGGTTATTTTCATCGTCTGCCTCATTCCTCAGTCGGCCATTCTGACGACCGTGAGTTTTTTCCCGGAACTGAGTATCAAGGGCGTGTATGTTTACTTCACGTTGTTGTGCTTGAGTTTAGCGAACGTCATGGAGACGGTTAATTCCAGTGTTAGTATCATTGTTTACTACAAGATGAGCAGTAACTATAGAGAGAAGCTAAACTGTTTGTTCAGATTTATAGACAAAGTTTAAAATGAGTTTTCTTTAAAATTATTTTCATTATTATATTAATGACACTTTAATTAAAAATTACTTCGAATATTTATTGTTACAGTAATTATTACTTCAACAATTGACCATTTGGGATAAACCACAATTGTCACAGTTCTCTACTTATGACAAGAGGAATATGGCACTAACATTTCCAAAAGTGGACATCTGTGGCATATCCCGTGTGGTCTTAGATTGTTTATGGACTTTTATAATACAATGATTGTGGATCGATTGCATTCCAATGAATTAGTTTACCTGGTAGTAATAAAGTTAAGACTGACAAAAGAACAAGTTAATTAAAAAGTCTAGTGACAATTTTAGCGCAATTTCCTTATGTTATCTAAAAATAGCTCTGTCGTAGCGTAAATCAAGAGCAGGGTTAGTAAATCCATTGGTTAGTTATTAAAACGTTTTTTATTTTAAAAAAATTTCAGTATTTTACATGTTTTATTTACAATAGAGTTACATGACTAAAAACCATTGCGCGCCTAGCTACCGAACGTGATGTCGCAGCCATTGAACGTGATGGCGCAGCTATTAAACGTGATGACGCGTGTGGTGTGGTTGGATAAAAATGCCTACTAATTCGGTCCAAATTTTAATTAATTCAAAAATTTTTTGTGACCAAACGAAAGGATATTTTTGAAAACTGTCTTTGGCAATATTGTTCTAAATTATGGCAGGAATCGATTGGTACATGTTTCAAGTCGCTAAGTGGTCTGGTTGCCGAGATGTGGGCCAAAAACTGGATTTTTTTTGAGGTTTTTAGGCTTTTCCGGGAAATCCATGAAAGAAACCCGGAATATTTTTGGCCTATGTTCATCCTCGTAGCTTGCTTAACATAATTGCTTTTGGAACTAGTCCTCGATATTGCTTCGTTGAGGAGGAGATACGACTTAAAGCTGCGGACACACATCCATTCATTCATTCATACATCCAGAAATGACGGGTTAATAAACGCAATTCTCCAGAATGGAAATTGCGCTAAAAATCGCAGTTAAATTAAGTACTTCTAAAATAGAAGAAGGCACCGTCTTCACGCATCAAACTAAATTAAATTATTTTAAACCGGTTAGGTTGGTTTATTAAGCAGATGAAGGAGAGTGTATCTATTTCTTTACCACTGCATATACAGAGGTAGTGAGATTAGCACTAAACCAAGACGTTTTTATTTTCCTTATGTGATACAGATACATATCATCAAAGCTTTTGGAATCAAGGAAGAAGTACAAGTTCAATTCCGTGATCCAAACTTTAGACCATTAATAGAGGTCGAGTACTTTATCGCACGCCCCCATAAAGTAAAGAATCCTCATCAGACTTAGCGATCCATTGGGCAGATGAAGTAGAGTTCATATGTTTCTTGACCTCGGCATTGGAAGGGAAGATGTGGAAAGAACTATGCCCAGCCGCCTTTACTTTCCTTAACATTAGTTAAGTATCAATCATAGGGACCTTCTACTGAATTTGGACACGGATTCGAACTTGATTCTAAGAATTATACTTTTTCTGAAAATTTGAATTTTAAAATATAATTTCTCTATTTATTCTTACAATTTTAAAATTATTCTTTGTAGTTCACACTTGGAAGTAATATAATTATAATAAGGCACTTTATTTTATTTATTCGTTGAACATTGTTAAAAATGTCATATGCACTCTAAATAATTTTTTTGCTTTAAGCGTGCTTATTTCTATTAAATGCATCCGCAAAAATTAATTTAATAGAAAAGTGCTTATCACAATTCTGAGACAAATGATTAGTTAGGCTATGTGTTTTTACATTGATTAAAAAAAATAAAATAGAGAATAATTTTCTGATTGGCAGCTAATGAACACAAATAAAAAAAAGTAAAGTGACCTATCTAGACTGATAATCGGATGGTCTCGAGTTCGAATCTCCGGGTTAAAGTCAGTAGAAAGTCCGTCTACTCAGTTCTGATGGGTACCTGACTCACGTTAGAAGAACTAAGGGTGGCTGATCATAGTGCTAAACCACACTATCCCTTCTGATGCCGGGGTCACAGAAATAGGTGAACTCTACTTCACTAGCCCAAAGGACCGTCGGGTGTGAGAAGCGACCGGTATTTAAAGTAACCTGAGCGACCATAGCGATAGGCCCTTTGTGCAGATGAAGTAGAGTATAATTAACTGCGTGACCTCGGAATATTAAGGGATATTTCTGTCAACACTGTGCCCAGCCGCCTTCGACAAGTGTCAGGTACCGATAACAGCTGGGTGAACTCAGGGACGTCGTACTATTTGGGCACTTTAATTATGCCAACTACGAGTTAATCACTGTGTTGTGGTAACCTTATAAAATAATCAACGACCCACAATTTTTTTTCGACTCATTATCTTTAAATATGGCCGTTATGTTTTAAATAAGGAAAATAAAGCTTTTATTTACAGCTCGAAGAAACTCACATATATTTATATATATATATATATATATATATATATATATATATATATATATATATATATATATATATATATATATATATATATTTATATACAACAGTACTTCTAAGTTTCCTTTACTTAAACAGAACTTTTAAATTACGGTTAAATTAATTGCTTGTTATTTCGATATTAAATTCATTTCTTCCGCTCAAACTTTGTATTTACAACGTTACTTGACCAGGCTATACTAGGATAGATTGCAACTATTTGTCTGTAGTAACATGTATGAAAGATTTACAGCAACCCATTTTCCATAATATTTACACATACGTTCATAAGACATCTAACATTTACATAATGCTATGCAACCGGGGAATTGGTAACATGAGTTTAAGCAAGGGAAAAAGTCAAAAGGAAAAATAAGTTGAAATATGGGTGAGAGGTTGGGTCATGGTGAAACTTTGTAAGTTTGATACTGTGGACTGAAATAGATTTTAAAAAGTTTGGTCAAAAGGTATCCCAAAAGGCAATATTTATTCAGGGCGTTTTTATTTTATTAGGGGATGCAGAATTTTAAAGCATTATCGTATATTGAGATAGAGTAATATAAAGGAAAATTCAGATTTAATTAAATGTTTATTTTTTACATATAATATCACTTTTATTTAGTAAAAACAAAAATAAATAATAACTAAGTATATTTAATTATACTAAAGTATTAATGTAGAAATATTAGTTGATGTTTTATGCATATTAGTTCCCTTTAGCGTGTTTAGGAATTAGTATCGCCAGAGTTATCGTTATTGTCTTTTTAAAAGTGAATTTAATTATATTATACATTACGTTTTTTTAATTTAATTCTTACAATCTAAATAAGCCATATACAGTGGAAATATTCTGTGTACTTTCTGGCTTTATACGGAGGCATTCTTTATCTTCTTTGTTCTTATTTCTAGTGTTGGAAGGGATTCTCTCCAACACAATTAGGTACTACGTTTCAACTTGTTAAGCGCATTTTATGACATTTAATCCAATTTCAGCTTGCTTTTCTTTTTGGATTTGCCTCATAGCCTTTGTCCAACCAAGAGCAAACTACAAGGCAGCTTTTGTTTGATTTTGGAGTTGTCTCTTCTAGATGAGCCGCTGTTCCCATCTGTCGAACCTAATCTGCGCGGGGGTTCAAACTCGGGACTTTACGGTTCAGCAATCATGAGCTTAACTGACTTGACCACGCTTTTAGAAGTCCAAACATATATACCTAATTTAGTAACAGTCCTAATAATAGTGGTGCAGAGGCGTAGCGATGTGGGGGCAGGGGGGTACATATGTCTCCGGCGCTGACATTAGGGGACGCCAAAATGGGTTGTAAAAACACATTAAAATGTCATTTTAGCTGCATTTTTGCATTATATATAGTTTAAGGGGGGGGGTGCAAATCAAAAGACAGCCCTCAACACGGCAAACTCCGACTTATTGGCTTAGATATCGGTTTGATTACCGTGTATCGGTCGCTTCTGTCCTTTGGTTCTCACCAGGCTTATCTTCCACCGCACTGAACGAAGGGTAAACTCATACCCCATTGTCCAGTACCCGGCTCAACCGGCAGTTCATAACTTAAAAAAGTGCGTCAAATTAATGATTACCGACAGATAGGCATTCCCTATAAAATAAAATTCCCCATTTAACGATATTCGAAAAAGTCGGCATTTGGGCAGAGGCAAGAATGGAACCGTCACCACTGGGCTGGTTACAGAACGGCGGTGGGGCTGGGCCTGGTGCCCAAGCTGCTGTCAGCTGTCGTATATTTTCTACCTCACCTATTCTCTCTGTTCGCTGATAAGTGTTTTTATCCTGCTTTGTTATAATATTTTTCAATGAGATTTGAAAATAAGATAATTTAATTATTAAGATTTGTGCATGGAACTGGAGATCGGCATCTTGACCTCCAAAGAGCCGCATGCGACTCGCGAGCCGCAGGTTGCCAACCCCTGGCCTAGTCTAAAAGTGTAAATTTTTTTTAATTTTATGTGTGTACTTGCTTTCTTTTTTTCGCTATAATAAATTGTCATTTCTTATTTTAAAACCTCACACCTGTCCCCTTTAAACTTCAACGGGAAACGTACGCTGTTCCAGATGGAATTTAAAAAGTATACGATTTATGTAGAAAATGTATTCTTCAACTCGAGCCTAGCCCTTGACTAAAACAGTACGCAAGTTAACACGCTCCCACAAAATACATTAAAATACCATCACCATTGGACAGAAATATGCGCATACAACCAAATACTTGTTTGTGAAATTCCGTCCATCTAATTTAAACGGTACCCAAGTTATCAGCTTTTCAGAAACCATAGGTAATGTAAGTACCAACTTCGGTTACCAGAAATTGTTCAAAAGTTGATACAAAATTGATATAATACTTATATATGTAATTTATAACTGAAATTGTACTCGAGCTATCGTGTTACAGACACAAATATACAGACAAAATCGCAAAACTATGTTTTTCATAGTCATCGAGGTGTAAAACTTTGATTTTTAACACGATTTCAGTACTTCATCTATACTTCGTT